GGTGGAATCGATTATTAAGTGCCTGTCGTGTTCATGTTGTGGTGGTTTCGGTGTATGAATGTTTAATTACTCTTTAAAAAGGCTGTTATGATATGAACCTTGTGGTTGGTTATGATGATGCTAATTGATGCTTGTAGTAATAAAGATTGTTAATTGATGAAGATGTTGATTAATTGAGATGTTGATTAATAAAGATGTTAATTAATGGTTGTAGTAATAAAGAAATTCTGAGAAGTAATAGTAATATCCTCTTTTATCACTGTCATCTCTGCTATTTCAATAGACGAAATATTATTTTTGCTGATGTGTCTATTTATGTAGTTAACGGAAAGGAAAGTCAATTAAGTAAAATAGCAATTAATCAGAATTAATTTTGATCCGAAGAGAGGTTCCCAGGAATAAAGCTGAAATGGATCTCCAGAAGAGTTCTCTATTCGCCTCCTCCCACTCTCTCTTTTTTTTTTCTTTCTCTCTCTCTTCTCTTTTTTCCTTTCTTTTTTTTCGGTGTAGAGATAATGGAATGGACAGGATCCGGTTCCTCCTGCAGGCGTATTTCCTGGCCTATAGTCTCTCTTTCTTCACATTTATTTTCGTCCAGTCGTCTATCTTTTTCTATTCTCTTCTCTCACCTCGCTACGAGAAAATATAGATAAATACAAAGTGAAATAAAGGAAAAGTGATAAAAGAAATAAAGAAAAGTAATCAACAATATAGAAAAATTACAAATACTCCCCCCCCCAAAAAAAATAGATAGATAGAGAGATAGGTATATATATGTATATATAGATGAATTTTAAAAATCCAAAAAATAACAAACAAGAAACACAAAAAAGGTAGACAAAAAAAAAAAAGACACATCACAATCCCCATGAACTAATAACCCCACCCCCCCTTCTTTCCTTCCCCCACCAGCTGGCCCCGTGTTCTACTCCCACGTCGTCCGCGGAGGCCGGGCGGAGATGCAGTGTGACATCAGTACCTCAGACCCAACAGATCGCGTCATACTAGTTCTGTGGTATAAGGACGGAATTGGCACTCCCATTTACAGGTTGGTGGGATTAGTTGCGTTCTTAATGGCATCTTTGGTATCTCTGTTTCTCTTTTTTTTTTTTTTTTTTTTTTTTTGGGGGGGGGGGTCTCTCTATCTGTCTTTGTTTCTGTTTCTATTTCTGTCTGTTTGTTTCTATTTTGTCGGTCTGTCTGGTTGTTTTTCTGTCTGTCTCTCTTTTTCTTCTTTGTTTCTGTTTCTATTTCTGTCTGTTTGTTTCTATTTTGTCGGTCGGTCTGGTTATTTCTTTTCTGTCTGTCTCTTTCTTTCTTCTTTGTTTTCTCCTTTCTCTGTCTGTCTATCTGTCTGTATCTCTTGCTCTCTCTCTCTCTCTCTCTCTCTCTCTCTCTCTCTCTCTCTCTCTTTCCTTTCTCCTCTCTCTCTCTTTCTCCCTACCCCCCCCCTCTCTCTCTCGCTCGCTCACTTTCACTCTCTTTCTCTCTCTCTCTCTCTCTCTCTCTCTCTCTCTCTCTCTCTCTCTCTCTCTCTCTCTCTCTCTCTCTCTCTCTCTCCCTCTCGCTCGATCGCTCGCTCACTTTCACTCCCTCTCCTCCCTCTCTCTCTCTTTCCTTCCCTCCTACCTCTTACACTCCGCACTCTAGTATTTATAGCATAATTCCACACGCACTCACACTCATTATTTTTCTTCTTCTCTCTGATCAAGTAACCTAATTATCAAGATGAAAAAACGAGAAAAAGTAAATAGAAAAAGGTAAATACCATTAATATTCGGAACCAGTGGCTGGTAATATCAGAAGCGAAGTTTGCCGATGCACATACCCTGTTGCGCTCATAAACTGTTTCAGTGTGACGTAAGCCTGTGGGAAAATGTCGCAACAAATATAGAAAAGGCTTTAGACTTTTCCGGTAATATATTTGGGATTATAAAGGGGAAAGTAGCAGGATGAATGAATTATGAACTGATGATATTTATCTATTTATTTATCTATTTTTTATCAACAAAAGCCACGTGTTTCTATTATTTGCTGCAGAATATATCACAGATTATGATATCTATTCATATTATTTAATATGATCAGTCCAAGATCATTTTAACAAAATCATATGATTAATAGACATTATTACTTTTCTGTGAGAGAATGTTTTCTCATTTTTGAGACATATCTTTATTTATCAATTTTTCTTTTGGGTTAATAGTTATAGCTGTTGAATATACATGTGGGTTCATTTTTCTGTTTTTAACGAGAACATAACTTTTAATGAATTCTTACGACCTGACAATGGATTAAAAATTACAACTACAATGAAATCCCTTCATTTAGTCTACTAGATATTGTTGGCTTTTTAAACAAGCTGCACACTTGATATATATACATGTATATTTTATATAATTTCTACTTATTTTGTATGCAAGTTGCACGATTAAATATAAACTGAATGATTAATGTACAAGCTTAATTCTTTATATTGAATATATATACTCGATGTACA